CAAGCCTGGGAAAAAAGAGCGAAACTCCGTCTCCAAAAAAAAAAAAAAGAACTACAAACTCTGCAGCCTGGGAGTAGGGAAGAGGTAATGCCAGCACTTCCTTAATCGCTCCAGCTGGTGTCTCAGTGGGTCACGTGCTCCCACAGTCCACGGGCTATGGCTCAGTGCAGCACTGGAACTTGCCTGTATCCTAGACTGCCTTTCAAGTTTATTTAGGACCCTGGAGCACTTCAGCCTGTGGCAGTGAGATCTGCAGGTTTGGACTGCTGGGATTGGTGATTTCCCTCTGGCTAGAGCTAGTTTATGTGTCCCTTCCGTTGGTAGGCTTCAGCTGAGTTTTGTCCCAGTTTGTTTTCTGCTGTGACAGGGCAGCACTGAGTTCAGTGCCTCACAGTGCTTGCACTGTGCTTCTCTGCAGTGCACAGAATCACCCTCTGCACCACACCACAGGTGCCTGGCAATGGGGCAGGGATGGTGTTTGTGATTCAAGACTGTTTTTCCTACCTCTTCAATGCCTCCTTCAGCAATATGAAGTTAAAACCAGGTATTGTGAGTTTATGTTTGATTTTTAGTTCTTATAAAGGTGCTTTTTTTGAGTAGTTAGTTGTTAAATCGGTGTCCTTGCAGGGAGAATGATTAGCAGAGTCTTCTGTTCTGCCATCTTGCTCTGCTCCTCCCTTAATTTTGCTTCATACTTAATTTTTACTTACGTTTACTTATATTCAGTTTTACTACACTTAATGTGACTTATGCTTAATATTACTATGCAGATTAGTTTAAAAACTCTATGTAGTCAAATATATTAATATCTTCCTTCATTGTTTAAGGATTTGAGACATAGTGAGAAAGTTTTCCATTCTCCCATTTATACAGTGATTCATTTGTGCATTTTCTTCTGGCATTTTTTTTTTAAACTAGAATTGAATATATGGAATCTTTGCTATTTGTACTCATTTACTTTTATGGTTTATAAAATTATTTAAGCTTTATTCTTGACCATATTACTGTCTAGTTATTCCCACATAACCTGTCTTAATATGTCTTCCTTCATTGCTTTAGATATCACCATACATTTATTCGTTTTCAACTGGATCTATTTTCATTTTTCTAGATGGGCTAATCTCTTCCACTGGAAAGTCTGTTATTTTTAATAAGCTCCTAGTTTACATGTATAATATTTTCTAAAAGGGTTTTCCATTGATGTTAATAGATATGAATGATCTGCTGTTTTTTCCTTTTGATACCATTTTTGTTAGTATTTGGTACCAATGCTTTATTTACTTCATAAAACATATATGGAATTTGATTATATAAATATATCCAATTATCATATGTACCCCAAAAATATATATATTATATATCAATAAAAGGTAATTTTTTAAAAAGTTTGGAAGTTTTCCTTTTTTTGTCAAAAAGACCAGACAATTTTACAATATTGATATTTTTGAAACAAGAATTTCTTTATGACTAATATTTACTCTATTTTAAAAGTTTTTTTTTTTTTTTTTTTTTTT